ATCAAGTAAAAAAAAAATCCAGCTGAAGTGCAGGATTGAATAGCTGCTAAGATGCTAGAAACAGAAGGCAAATTTAACTCATTTGAAAATCGGCAGTTTGGGAAATTTGCTTATTTTCTTTTTGCTGATTTTTGGCTCATTTTTCTTCAAAGTCCTCCACAGGTAAAAAGATCCTCTTCTTACATCTTCTTTATTTCTTTATGTGAATAAACAAGTCAGTCTTCTGCACCAAGGAGTGACACGTTTTAAAAAGTGGCTCAAGAGGCCTGACAATTAGCAATAGCAATAGCACTTAGACTTATATACTGCTTTACACTCCTTTACAGCGCTCTCTAAGCGGTTTAGAGAGTCAGCCTATTGCCCCCAACAATCTGGGTCCTCATTTTACCCACCTCGGAAGGATGGAAGGCTGAGTCAACCTTGAGCGTGGTGAAATTCAAAATGCCAAATTGCAGGTAGTAGAAGTAGCCTGCAGTACTGCAATCTAACCACTGTGCCACCGCAGCTCATTAGCTTATAGATTATATGTTATCTCTCCACTACCAAAGCAATGGACTAAAATGGTTTAACCGGAGCTTGAAATGCCATTGATTGCTCACTTTATGACATCTGCAGACATATTAACTTTATAACCGTGTGTTTGTGTGTGTGCATGTGCGCATGCGCACATGCCAGGAGTTAGGTCAAACAAATCTGTTTTATTTTCTCAATTTCTTATTTTTCCAGTTTTAAACATTTCTACTTCTGTTTCATCTAAATCTTACACATACTATCATATTCATAATATACATATTTTCCCCCAAAATGCATATTTTACAACAATTTCAATGGATTTAATGTATTTTATGTTATTTTTTAACAATAAATAGAATTGTGATTGGCATTTTTCTCTATTATGCTAATCATGATGCATTTTATTGGAGAACTATATTTCATTTCATTTGTTGCATTTATAATCTGTTACATGTGAGGCCTTTACTCTCTGCTCCACCAAAGCCATTGAAAAAAAACAGTGGTTTGATGCTGGCTGGAAGTTTAGAAGTCTGTATGTTTTTACAGGTTTTAGAAAATGTTAGTGACACTCCCTATCTAATTTATGGCAGAAATAGCTATTCACATCAACATAATTGCCAAAAAATCAATACAGTCCCATCAGCCCCTGAACCAGTAAAGCGTTGATGCATAAAATTAAATCACAATGAAAATTCTTTTGCTGAGTGCACAATTTTATTCTTGACTACTTTCTCAAAATTATTAGAATATCATTGCTGCTTGTTAGTGGAAATTTTCAGGTCCATCAATATTTTTATAGTCAGCTTTAATTGGTGAACGTAATTTCTGCTGTGAAATCTTGCTGCAACCCTCTTTCATATTTCTCAGCACATTTTACTAAATAACACAGCACATTAAATGGCAATTAAGTTTTTAAATTATTGTCTTTATAAAAAAAAGAGTATCTGTCTGTCTGTCTGTCGGTCTTTCTCTCTGTGTTTGTATAGATACTAATTTGACTTTTTTTCTTAAAGCCTAAATCACAATTTCTTTGTATTTGTATTCATACAACATATGGCGCCTCTCTACTGAAGTTTATACTTAAAATACTGTATTTTTCGGAGTATAAGATGCAATTGTTTCCCTCAAAAAAGAGGCTGAAAATCTGGGTGCGTCTTATACACTGAATACAACATTTTTTGCCTCCTGAAACCCCACCCCCTTCACTAAAATGGCCGGGCAGAGCTTGTAGGAGGCTTTCAGAGAGCTCCTGGGGGCTGGGGAGGGCAGAAATGAGCAAAAAAACAGCCCGTTTTTTACTTGTTTTTGCCCCCCTGAGCACTCTACAAGCCTCCTAAAGAAAATAAATGGGCCCTTTTTTGCGAAAAATGGGCCATTTTGGGGAGGTTTGCAGAGTGCAAAAACTTTTGTTTAAAATTTGCCTCTTCAAAACCTTGGTGCGTCTTATACTCCGGTGCATCTTATACTCCAAAAAATACGATAATCTGTTTCGGTTACTTTGATTTTAACCTGTTTCAGTAACAAAGTAAAGATGAGTAATAAAAGGCATTTTTTTTTTTCAAAAGACATTTATGCTTGCTCACCTTTGTCCAAACATTAGAGTAGATTTGCTTTCTGCTTCATTGAAAATGGATGGGGAACAACATATGACAATGGTGGTTCTACAGTTACCACCTAATGAATCTTGGAGAATTCGGGTCATTTTGCTATCTCGATATGGGACGTGAGTTTTCTAATTAAGAAAGATAAGAGGTTGAAAAACATGCACTCACACACAAGCATTCAAAGGCTGTTGCGGAGATTTGTTGGCAATGTTATAATCTGGATTTCTTTTTTTAAAAAACTTTATTAGTTCATCACAATATAAAATACAAATAAAATGAAAATAATGGGAAATTAGGGGAAGAAAGGAGGAAAAGAAGGAAGTATAGGGTAGAAGTGGGAAAAGGGAAAAAAGTTATTTACTTCTGACTCCTTTTAACACAGTAGAAGATAATATTGCAGCCTCAACTTTTTGTTTTTACACAATATATCCTAGCCATACTATCATTTGGATGACTGTACATAAATGCCTTCCAAAATATATATTATGTATCTTGATATACATGTGGGAAAAAGATGCAATATATTTTCAGGGTATTTTTAATTGCTACAAATCAAAATTTAAAAACACATATTTATTTAATTGCTCAATGTTATTTTTCTTCAATATTTTGTTTGAGGAAAAAAAGGGCCTTTCATGTTTTCTGCTTTTTCTTCCCATGCTTTCATCTCTCTTCAGCTGCATCTTCTGCTTGTTCAAATGTTTTATTTGTACAGCCTGATGGGTGTCTACATACTCCACAATCCATGCATAAACAATTCCACAGAAGCCATTTACTTAGGCTAGCTATCCTAGTGGCATCAACTATAACAATGTGATGTGTGACTGGCATGTGAGAAGTTAATATTTATTCATGAATGTATTAATGGGATCTAACACACTTTCATCACAGACAATGCTGGGCTGGTTGCTTTTGGGTACAATGCTGGTTATTGGTTATAAGTAAGTAAGTAAGTAAGTAAGTAAGTAAGTAAGTAAGTAAGTAAGGAAGGAAGGAAGGAAGGAAGGAAGGAAGGAAGGAAGGAAGGAAGGAAAGAAGGACTTACAGTTCCTTCCGCCAATGCCGAAATCACATTACCCAGTGCAGACAAAGACTTGTTAATGTTTTTAGCTTCATCAAGAACAGATCCCTCAGCTCCAGTTTTGCTGACCTATCAGAAAAAAAACATGCTATTGAAAATGAACTGAGTTCATACTCTCTAAAGACAGGTTTAAAACAATGATGAGATTATATTTAGAAGAAACACATAATGCTGTCTGTCAAATCAGAAAAATCTGCAATACTTTCATTTCATCCAAAACCACATTAAGTAAACGGCATTTCACTCATATTTCATGAATTTCACTTACATTTCCAATATCCATCAAAGCAGCTTAGAAGGCCAAATCTATCTGACTTTAGCTAAACACTGGCAGGCAGTCTCAGATCATTCTCATGTTTTTATAGATTCTTATACAGTAAAACCTCAATTTTCCAGACTTCCATTCAGCAAATTTTGCTTCAGGCATTATTCCCAATTGTGTCCATTGTTTGTGGACAACTAATGTTTGGACAACTAATGTAATATATGTTATTTGCATCTATTTACATCATTACTTTAAATATATAATTGTTTTCATCTCATGTAAATCTATTGTACCAATTTACATTATTTGCAAATAACATGAATAGATCAAATGAAGTAAAATGTAAATTATGTTGAACTCAGTTAAACTGTGTACAATAGTACCCAATAATAACTTTATATATACGAAGATAAAATTGGAAATCTTGTCTGAAATATCTTCATCTCTTTTCAGGGGGATTTGGACTTAGATATATACTAGGATATGCACACAAATACGCTAATGTGCCAACAAAAAAAATCTATTAGACAAGTGACTCTGGAGGGGAAAAAAGTTAAAAAAGCAAGAAATAATGATGTAGAAAAAAAAATAATAATAATGCCCTTTATAATTTAAAGATCATCCAACAAATTTGGAGGCTACTTTGTTCAAAAACTTTCAGAAACTGAAATGATTTTTTAAAAAAAAGTTAAAGCCACGATTTAAAGATATGTTTCAGTTATAGTGACAGAATAAATAATTTTCAGCAATACTGAAGTTTGGGCTGTCACCTTTTTGTTAGATATTACTTCATTTATTTAAAACAATAGGTAAGAGATTTAGAAATGGCTTATCTCCTATCTCAACACACGAAACATTGCTTTGAATTGGCACATATTATATCCAATATTATCTGCTTGTAGGGCAAAATATATGATTTGCTTCTGGGGCAATCATGTAGACTCTTCCTGAGGGAAATGAGAGATTTAGAAATAGGAAATATAAGGAAATAAGTAAAATCTAAAGCCTTTATACGTTTTGAGTGTGATTTATTATATTAAGTGATGAATTCCAAAAGGTCCTACCTTGTAATCAAAAATTTTATGCAATAACAGGATCATTACCTTTTCACTCCCAGCAAGATCTACCAGATAAAGCTTCCCGCTTAGTTTTTTTTCAGTTTCCACATTCTCTTGTTTGATATTAATTAGGAAGATACTGTGACTTCTAGAACTGTGTTCATTCATGTCTAGGAAGATAAAATGCAATAAGCTGATCGTGCTCTTTAAGGGTTTTTTCTTTTCATCTATGTCTTCTAAATTCCATTAAACCATTATCCTCATTTGATTTCCTTGTTTTTATCAGTGAAGATTAAACTTGGTCCTTACCTGTGATTGCAGTTCTTCAGAATTCGTTTACGAGTTCGCATGGGTGCCAATCCATATGTATCCTTCTCAGAACTTACTGAATTGTCTGCCAGGAGCCCTGCTACCCAAACATCCAGCACAATCAACCCCATACTCACACAGCAAAATTATTCCCACCTATGTTGATAGGACCAGCACCGAATGTAGTAGCCAGTTGGCACACAATAACATCCACAGTAAGATTTGTAGATGGCCACATTAATGAAACTGAGAAGAAGACATTGAATAAAAGCTATGTAACCCTGTAGATGGAACCTCGGCCTCTTCAACTCCGAATAGGAGGAGGATACTGCAGCGGGCTTCTGAGAGATGTATTTTCCAGCAGAAACAATGTAATCAAAGTTCAGGGGAAAAGAACTACACAGCCCAACAGCTATGGAGAAAGGAGGGAGAATTACTGCGGTGTCCATGGATGGGGGACAGCATTCCTGCTGCCTAAAGAGGGGTGAAGATCCTAATCAAAAGTGACTGTGTTTCTAATCCAGGTGCAGTTTTGGGATTCATCATCCATGGTTAAAGAGGTGGACCCCAGAAGCCTCTTGCCACATCTGCAGAGGGCTCCCCCCAGAAGGAAATCAGCAGAATTTTATGCCTTTGAACAGACATTTTTTGCCTTTAGCAGAGCCGAGTTGGGTGTGGCCTGCGTGTGACACATCCAGCCTCTGGACCACCAATTTGATAGGCCTGACCTAGAGCATAAGGCTAGAATTATATTAGGATGGTCTATCTCTTTTTATATTGAGTGTGTGCAACCCAACGTTCCTTTGTTACCTTTTATGATGTTGAATTATTTTGAATGAATCTGCAGTAGACTGGTTGGTTCAGCATGGCTAATGTATCAACTCCCTAAGTTTTATTGTTCCCCTTTCTTTAATTAGCCAGAGCCAGGAAAGGATGCAGATTTCCCCTTCAATCCTGTTCTGGTTCCTCAAGAGATCTGGTGTGGAAATGAAGAACTGGTTTATAACAGAGGCCTGATGGCATTGAGGGAATCTAATTTTCCACTCAATGTTCACTTCCACACCCAGGTTATATCTGAATCAAAGTAGCTACAGGGAGGCCTGATTCAACGTCAGTTCATTCAGTCATGTACAACCTTTGGCCACTCTGTGGATCACATTCTCCATGCCCCTTTAGGTCCACTATGGCAATTCCATAGTAGCCGGCCAATGGGTACTAGGGTAGCCCCTTCAAACCTGGCATACCTTATTACACATTTATACCTTTTGGGTCTTCTATTTACATGCTTGTTAAAAACTTCAAAGAAAAATCTAGAATGTTTTATCATCATTCTAAATCATAAAACATTATAATGATTTATAATCAAGTGCACTTATACAGTTGCATCCACTAATCATCGCATGAAATACTTTTGCCAATACAACTGTGGAATATTGCTTACTTAACTGTTCAGAAAATAATGGCCATACATTTTTAAATATTTGACCTTGAAAACATTTACTCGGGTTTAATGCTCCTGGTTGCTCAGTAATAAAGGCTACATACCATTACGAGTTTATTTTAAAAGAAATTGCTGATCTCGATTTAAAACAAGGATCTGCAGAGCATTTATTCAGTGTGTATTTTAAAATCCAAAGACCAAAAATCCTTAAGCCTCAAAATGTCAGTCACCATTTAAAGAAAAAAAATCAAGTCACATATCTAAGAATCTGATTAACTGCTATATAACAGAGATAACTTGAAGACACTAATGAATTTGATGAGCAAAATGTATATTCTCTTGACTATTGTAAAATTATTGTAATTTCAGTACAACAGTAATTGAAATTTTGTTTTTAGAATGTAATTGCAGACTTAATGTATGAATGCTTACTGGTAACAGCTACATGACGGTTTGTTTTCCCTTCATCAATCACATCCATAACTTCTTCAGGACTAGATACAAATCTCTCTGTGCAGCCCTAAAAAGGTGAAATTCAACATTTTTTTTAGGCGAAACGTTGACTAGAAACAAACCTAAACCAGTAACTATAGCTTCTCAAAAACCAGAGACAAAACTCAATTTATAAGCCTATATTAACATAACACAAAACTTCAGATAATAACCAAGAAGCAACTGCAGAACTATATAAGATAACCTGATTCTGCATCCAAGGATTCTTTTGTAGACCATCTTACAGCATATTTTAGGCTCTCACCATTCAAAAGAATAAATACCATTTCGTCATGAAATTGGGAAACTATATTTTATATTCCATTTATACGTAGACTGTGCGTCTCTAGCTTGCTTTGATATTTATGCATGGTTCTAACATATGTTGAAGCTTATACTACTAATAAAAATTCCTATAATTTGCATTCCATTTTCCTGCATGAGCATGTGCGCCAGCCAGCTGATTGTGGTGCGTGCATACCCGCCCCAAACCCACAAGACTAGCTGGCCAGCACGCATGTGCATGGCAAAAACCGGAAGTTCATGGGGGGGGTGCATGTGCCCTGGGCAGCTCCTCTTCCAGGTTGCAGTGCAGACCAGTGCGCACATGCACACTCTCTTTTTGGCACTTGGTGCTGAAAAGGTTCACCATCACTGCTATAGGTGAAAGACTTATATTGCAAAATAGGATTGATAAATGTATGACCCCTTTTACTGAATTGATTGAAGGCTGATTACCCTTTCTGCCCATGAAGATTGCCAGATAATAAGCATAATAAAAAATGTAAGGATAAAGAACGTATTTATACAAAACATGGTAGGTTATAAAGCATGATAGTTATGATAGATAGATAGATAGATAGATAGATAGATAGATAGATAGATAGATAGATAGATAGATAGATAGATTCACAAAATGCATTAGATAATTATACTGTGTGTATTTGTGTGTGTGTGTTTATTGTTGCAACAACACATAGTTTGGTTTTTTTTTCATTTTTAAGTAATTGTTATGTATATTTTTGATAATATGTGTATCTCTGTGTTTTCTTCTTTTTTACTTTATAAATTTTATTTGTATTTTAAATAATATAGCTAATCCTTGATTTACACAGATAATTTGGATGGGGGCTAGGGATAGTGCAAAAGAATGCTTGAGAAGAATGGTGCAGGTTAGGGAGGGTGCATGAGGATGCCAAGGAGGTGCGGCAAGGATTAGGAAAGGTGTGTTTGTGTGTGTGTGTGAGAGAGAAAGGGGGGGGGAGGGAGGGAGAGAAAGGCTTGTGTGGTCCAAACCTTCTTCACGTTAGATAGGCAAACTTCTTAAGAATGATAGAAATGTTGCTAAATAAGACACTACATGTTTTGGAGTATGATTTTACCTATCAAACTCTGTCTCAGGAGTATAGATGGAGATCTTTTGGTATTAAAATACTTTATGACTTGGGAGACAAGTTGATATTTCAGATTATCTGCTCATAATTATCTGTCAAATATGAGAACATGAGCAAACTGGCAAACATGAATTAGGTAAAGAATAAAAGGACCTATTGCAGCTTTCTAAAGTGGGCAGTTCAGATTCTTCTTATTTATTGGCAACTCAAATAGTCTTGCTAAGCACTTTACTTTACAAATCTCATTATACAACGAATGAATTATTCTTGAATGCTATGCCCAGCTAAACTAACTTAATAATCTTTTGAGACAATTTTATCATTCTAACTTCTAATAGAATTGCTTTAATTAAAAAAATACTTTTTGTTTCAGAAAATGTTCTTAAGATAAAACACGGGCACTATGGATCCTGAAAAATTAATCTCAAAGGACATTTGGCAACACGCTGAAAAAAGAAAGAAAGAAAGAAAGAAAGAAAGAAAGAAAGAAAGAAAGAAAGAAAGAAAGAAAGAAAGAAAGCAAGCTTAATTATATCTAGTAACTCTTTAATAATTTTGATGAAACAATTAAAGCAACTTGATTTGCTTCAACGAAGAAGTCAACAAGCTAAGCTCGGCTGAAAGGCTAAGGACTGGGTGGCTTTAGAATCAGAAGGTGACTGGCATGAAAGCAGCTTTTCCACACTGGTGGCTTTTCACAACCACTGACCTACTAGTGAGTTATTGTGACAGCCCAGCAATGTGAGAGGAGTTTTTCTGCACTGCTGGTCTCTTTTATCAACTGGTCAACAAAGGAGAGAATGCCAGAAGCAAAAAAGGGCAAGTCATATCACATCACTGTCTTCTTTAAACTGCTTGCTAACACTCGGAGATAGTTCAACGCAGTAGTGAAATTCATTTTTTTTACTACAGGTTATGTGGTGTTGGTTTGGTAGGCGTGTCATGGGTGTGGCTGGGAAAGGATACTGCAAAATCTCCATTCCCACCTTACTCTGAAGCATTTGCCGGTTCTCCGAACTACTCAAAATTTCCACTACCGTTTCTCCAGAACCTGTCCTAACCTGCTGGATTTCACCCCGGTTCAACGTGGAGATACTCTGGGGTTTGGGATTGGCCACCTTCAGTGTGTGCAGTAGGATAATCTCCACCAGTGGTGACTAACCTAGGAATCCTCTTGGTAGAAGGATTAAAAAACACTTTCCCCAGCCTTTTTCCAAACATCTGCAGGAGAATGCTGAGAGGTCTACAAAGCAGACTCATGAAGAAATATGACAAAGATGTTTGTAGAAATTCAATAAAGTCCATACAGAGGTTAAAAAAATCTTCTGCAGAAATTCAATAAAGTATGCACTGAAGAAATATGGCAAAGGAACCATGGTGCTTCAGGAAACAGTTTCAAGGAAGTACTTCATTTGAAGATTTCATCAAAACAAAGACCCTTTGAAGCTACAATACAGAGTACTTGTTCATGGCCCATTACTATCTCAGACAAATAATTGTTTAAACAAAAGAAATAATAGAATTTAGGAAGGAGGATTATGGTTTGCAAAATATTACAGAGCTATAATATCTGTTCTTTCCTCCCATTCCAGGGTAGAAAATAACAATATTCATGCTGCTTTCAAAAATGGTCAGCAAGAAGATCAAAGAATCCTTGGAATCCTAAAATAAACTAAGTAATTCCAAGGATTCTATAGCCTGACACCCTTTTCCCTTTACATTAAGCTAATAAGAGCTTGAAAATCTAGCATGCTTTTGGGAGCTGTTAGGAGTGTTGGAAATATAATTCTAATGGTTAGGTTGGCAATATATAAATCAAGTAACAATGCTATACCTGTTTCTTTAAATCATACTGTAAAATGTGATTGGTTGCTGTTTTTCCTCAATCGGCCATAAGAGGGAGCCAGAATGACTGTTAGCCCTCTGTTTGTTAGATGCTGGGCTGATCTGATCTGAGTGTCGTGAGCTATTGTAAGTTTTGCAACTACTAGTAAACTTCGTGTATTGGACTGATTGTATGATTATGGACTATGTTATTTGGATTATCCTTTAACTGAAAGACGATGACTGACTGACTTATCCGTGTATGACTTGGA